TATATATATATATATATATAATATGTATTTTTGTGTCAAAATGTTGAGCCAATTCACTGAAAAACATCTTTCTATGTAAAAGTGTAACACATGACAGCTCACTGTAAAAACGGTTAGTGGTGGCTGATTACTTTGCCGTCTCCTCAGCGTGTTTCTTAGCCTGCGTCTCCATGGCGATCCGGTGTTGCTCCAGCTCGGCTGCGGTCAGCTTCAGCTTCTCTGTGACAGAGCTGAGTGAAGCATCCTGCTCAGCCACCGTCTGCTCCAACTCAGCCAGGCGCTCCAGGTGTTTAGGTGTCAGCACTCTGATAGCGGGCTTCTTCATCAACTCCTGAACACAAAGAGGGTCATTTTAAACCCAACAGTTGTTGCTTCCTTAAATAACACACGCTTAAACTGTTTAACAAGTGCTTAGAGACTGAATAAATACTTATTTTTAATGTCAAGTGACTTTTTATAGCACAAATAAGTAACTATATTACCTTTGGTTGTTATAAAAATGCTATAAAATGGTGCCTTACAGCAAATTCTTAATAATTAGGAGTGCTCAAAATAGTAAGTGGTGTGATTTGAGTTTTGGGGTGTCTCAGGGAACACTGCTTAAACCATTTATAATTTTTTATACTTTTTCTTGACCATCTTATTAAATTCACTTCTCAGTCTTTGTGACTTTGTAATTTAAAACCTTGAAATTAGGCCTGTGTCTCTTTAAGAAACTCTTGTTCTTTCTGAAACTCCGCCTTCTGGAAGTCATCACAACAGCGCTCCTGTATTAACCCTATGTTAGCATTTTTACCAGCGTTTCGCTGAAAAAATAATCAAGGCAACACTCCAGGTGTGTTCTTGATGAGGGACTAACATTATTACATGATGCAAAGCTCATAAAAGTCAACGTTACCTAACACTGCCCTACTAAGACGTTGTTGGCAGTTGGGTTTTAACTCAGAAAGCAGTCTTTTTAAATGGAGAGCCTGAACGTACCAATGCTGTCTGTTTGAACTGATCCAGAGAGGTGTCTGTGTGCAAGTCCAGCTTCTGATGTAATATTCTCAACTCTTCCTGATGTCTTTTTATCATCTCCTCTTGATCCTAGAGCCAACAGTGTGTGAGGCAAGGAATGAAAAACAATGGAGTGTTCATAGATCTTCTTTTGTCTTTCTTTTTACAAAAGTAAATCCTTTCTACTCATCATTCAACATCATAGCTTCACCTGTCTGGCCTGAGCCAGCTGGTTTTGGTATTTCTTCAGCACATCTTCTTTCTTGTCGAGTCGACTTTGGAGATCTTTGATGGTCTGGTGCGCCAGCTTCAGGGCAGCCTGGCTGCTTGGCTGGTCCTCTTCGTTCTTTCTGAGGTCGGCAAGCAGACGCTCGCGGTCGGCGGCCGCCGGGAGCCGGAGACGCAGCTCGTTGATCACCTTGTCCCTCGACACGACGTTCTGCTCTGCTTTCAACAAAGCCACTTCGCTCTCTTTCAGTTTCTGTTTATTGACAAAGTTTTAAAGTAGGGATTCAAACATGAACAATTCGATCGTCTGAAACGGTCAATTAACCCTTAAGAGAAGATTTGAATGTAACTCTGATTTTCTTTTAAAAGTTACCCATTGCATCAGTTGTTTACATTATCTTTATTTGGATAAGCTACACAAAAACTGACACAAACATTGGCAGATCTATTCAGTCTAATTCTATGGTTTGTGCTCTGAGTGACGTCATGCTTTATTTATTTCACATTATATTTAGAATGACTAGTTACACTTTCTGAACCATTTGAAAGAAGGTTTGTTGTGATTTATTTTCACATGTTATACCAAGATAGTCAACCTATTGTTTTTGTCAGTTTCAGATTCTTCATTATTTATTTTACATTGGCTATGTGAAGGCCAAGGTGTGTTTAAGTGAGTAGACTTATATATATATATATATATATATATATATATAAAAGAAAAAGTAATTTAGTACATTTATGTCTGTGTTAAAAAAAAAAGAAACGGTTTAAGTCAATTCAGCTCTATTTTTTTGTATCAGATTGGTATCGGCTGATGCTAAACTACAAGAACAAAAAAACTAATTGATATTAAAAATCTCATTTAAAAGACTTTCCTGGGCTACATAGTAGAAAAAATCAGTGCAGCTATGTAAATAAACCTGACTTGAAATTGTTAAAATACTTAAAAAATATAAATATGATCTTATATTTTTATTTTAGGCCAACAAAGTTTTACCTATTCAAGGTGGAGAAATGACCAGCAGAGTTTAGGGAGCGAACAATTTTGTTGTTCATTTCTGAAGCATTTTCCTTAAAAAAAAAAAAAAAAAAAAAAAAACTAAAAATAATAAAATGATGCATTTTGGTATTCATTTTTTTTTTTAAGTTTAAAGGATCTCTTAGGGGTTAAGTGTCCTGATTATGTAAATGGAGAACCAAAGACGATATAAAAATAAAAGCAGAAATATATATTTGTTGTTTTTCCTTTTACATACATTTTTGTTAAAACGTTTTTTTTTCCTTATACATTTGCTGTTTTTACATTTCCTTGTCTCTTCTTTTTACCTTGTGCATTTTGCCTCGTTATGCAGATGAGGAGGGACGGAGTCTTAAAACAGATTGGTTGGTTAGAATTACACTCTACTGACCTCAACAAAGATGGAGACCAGTTTATCAGTGAGCTAAAGTTTAGCAACTTCATTAGAAAATAGTGCTATAACTCCGGACTTTATTACTTTTCGTGTGGATGCTCAGACATTTAACGGCTCTCATGTATTTCTTCTTTTATTTCTAGTTATATCAGTTTTGGTCCTCCGTATGCATGAACTGTGACCGAATCAGTTACCTTGTCCAAACTTTTGCATGTTCCCTGAAGCTCCAAGATGGTGCGAACCTGCTCTTTGATTTTACCCAGAGCAAACTCTAACTGATGAGCCAGAGGCAGCACTGGGTCTGGGAGCGGCCCTTCCCCTTCCTTAACCTAACAACAAAAACAAAACAAACAAAAAAAACAATGAGAGGACACATCAATTAAAGTTTAACGCCCAACTGGTTTCTTACAAAATAAGTTTGGCTTTTAACAAAATGGAAACATTTTATCAATAAACCTTCCAAGTCTTGCTTTACCTTCTCGGCGTTGTTGAGAATCTCGGTGTGCTGCTTCTCATAGCGGTCCAGCTGGCGCTCCAGCTCCACCTCCCGCTGGTCCCACGCCAGCTGACGCTCTTCCTGAAGCTTAGTAGAATGAAAATGTCAGACAGCTGTGTTCGCCAATGAGTAATGGTTATTTTGTTTTATGTACAATCAGGCCTGGGAAATACATCAGTTTAATCATTCAATTTATTTAATTTATGGAAAATATGATTTTTTTTTAGGGGGTTTCTGTAGTTCAGTGTGATGTCACCACGTCCAGGGCAGCCATCTTGTTTGATAAGTGTGTTTTACAACTTCTATTTCATATTCGGAAAAATATAAGTGTCGGGCTAAGATTTTTTTTTTTTTAAATACGAGAATGAAGTCATAATATTACAAGATCACAGTTGTTATATTAGGAGAATGATGTAGAGATTTTCTGAGAACCCCCGCACAAACAATAACAAGAAATCAATTATCCAAACTTTTTCTCGTTTCTTGTGATTTTAAGACGTTCTTCTGGTCAAATTGGGTCTTTATTCTGCAGATATTATTACCGTATTCTTGTAATCAAACAAAAATTCTCGTGGCCTGACCCTGATACTCTATAATAAAACTCACAAGAGGATTTAAAAAAAAAAAAAGACATTTGTAATTTCTCTTTTAGAAAAGAAAGTAAGAAAAGAAAATTGAATAAAATCAGAAATTGCCTCTGGTGTGGGAAAAAAAAAGTCAGAGATTTAATTTTAATGCCATATTATCCAGCCCTCTGTGTGATATTTATAAAACATAGTTTTCTTTTAACAGAGTTTGATAAGAGTTGTAAACTTGTAGAAGGTTTGTCCTCACAGAGTTGAGCTGGACGATGTCCTCCTCCAGCGAGCGGACTGTGCGGTCCTGCTCCTCCACCAGCTTCTTAAGGTAGCTGATCTCCTCCTTCTGGACCACCAGCTCCCTCCCTTTCCTCAGCTCCTGGAGGCGGGCCTCCTCCATCCTCTTGTGCCACTCCATTACCTGTTTCAGGTAAAAGCAGAATTTAATCGAGCAAGTACAACCCAATGAACGCGGCATATGTTTTTGTTTTATTTGGTTTTCTTCCCCCGCTCACTGACCTTGTGGGCACCCTTCACGTCCTTCAGGGTAGAGATGAGCTCCTCCAGGCCTCGCAGTCTCACCTCCAGCTCCTGGGCTCTTCCATCTGCCCTCCGCCTCTCCACCTCAGCTGCCCTCCTCTCCTCCTGGGCTTTGGCTCGGTCCTCCTGGAGCTTCAGCATGGCCAGGGAGAACTTCTCCTGCTGCCGGAGGGGCAGCGCCCCGGCGAACTGCCTGCGCAGAGCCTGGACGGTCTGGCGGAGGTGCGTGGCGCGGTGGCGGCCCTCCTGGCGGGCGAGGAAGAGCGCTCGCTCGCTGGCGTCCAGCCGCTGCTCGGCGCGCAGCATGTTGGCCTCCAGCCGCTGGATGTGAGAGGCAGCGGCCTCCAGATTCCCCAGAGCTGTCGACTCACTGAGCTGCAGCGCCACCATGTGTTGGTGGAGCTTTGCTATCAGAGCCTTCTCATCCGACTGTGACTGAGGAAAATTGAGAATGGTTAGTATTATGGTTTTCCCAGCTACATAGCATTTTATAGCGCAATAAAACAATAAAAATGCTGCATATGACATATATACAGTATTTTACAATGTTAAAATGCTGTATATATATCAAATATCGCTTAAAGAAAATTGACTTTGTAATTTGAAATTGGGCCCCTGTCTCTTTAAGAAACTCCTGTCCCTTCTGAAACTCCACCTTCAGGAAGTCATCTCAACATGGCTCCTCTATAACCCTTCAACAACATTTTTACCGGTATTACACTGAGAAGTAGCTCCTATAATTAGCTCATCAGATGTTCAGTTCCACCAGGTGTTTGCTAATTGCTGCTGGCTAGTCTGAGGGAGCTTTGAAGAGTCAATGTGGTGAAGGGCTCCTCTGTGAGGTGGAAGTCCGGAACAAATACGGTACTTATCATTGTCCATTATGGGGGATATTTCTTCTAATTTATTTAATTTGTTTTAAGATCCACTGGCCGATTACCTCATTAGCAATTAACTGTGGAGCAAGTTAACTGTGGAGCCTTTTTAAAGACTCTACAATTGTGTGTTTGAGTATTATCAAAAATGTCTTCCAATTACATAAATAACTGAGTCATATTTTTGAAATTCCTGTCGACTTTTAAAATTTTTTTGATACAAAAGCAATTCCTATCACCTGGTATTCCAGTATTTGTCTCCTGAAAGCCTCAACTTCGTTGTCTTTGGATTTGTGTTGGGCCTGCAGAGCAGAGACCTGGGACAAAGCCACGTCTGAGACTTCTTGCAGCCTGCAGAAGAAAGATACACACGCACCACTTGGTACTTCTCTCATCTATCTTCACTCATAAAAAAAAGCGAAGATAAGATGAATGGATTTACTACCAGCATGATGAGAAAGGGCAAAAAGTGAGAACTAAACCTGAAGCGTTTCAGCTGAATGCAGACGTCTCTAACAGGCACGGCTGCACACATTCTAATTCATTTATTTTTTTACAGCTTTAGCAACAACCTAGCGAGAGACTGGTACAGTCATGATATCAATGAATCTATTAGGTGATTCCTGCCCAAGGTAAATTCTCCAGGTCCAGTCAGGAACCATCTTATCTTTGCGAGGATTGCAAAAACATGTTCACCTCAGCAATTAATTACCAAAGTCAGCAGCAATCAAGAACGGAAAAACAACGGAACACTTTCGAGACGCACTTGGAGACCTCGAGGCGCAGCTCGGCCTCGGCCTTCTCCAGCTCTGAGATCCTGGCCTTGTCGGCGTCGCTGGCGGCTTTGCTGCTGGCGCCTGCCAGCTCATCTCTTAGCTCCCGCTCGACCCGCTGGGACTCCGCATTCATCTTGGTCAGCTGGAGCAAAACAAAGCGTTGGATGAAAGCGATTAAAGTGATGTGTTCCAGACGATCAGACATTTCAGCAAGAAATAACCCTGAATGGTCACATTAACGTCTTTCCGCACAGGCTCTGCTGTACTTATATAACGCAAAAACAGACTTGTTAGATAATAAAGCGAGCCTGCCAGGAGATGCAAAAACCATTTAGAATAGTTCATCACTTGATTGTGTTGACTGGTACGAATTAAGTGCCAGATGGGAGAAAAAAAAAACAACAATCTAATGTTTTCCTTGGCCTCTTACCTCTAAGAACTTGGATTCCAGCTCTGTGTTGCGCTCCTCCACCTGTCTGAGGGAGTTCCTCATGTGTTCGTACATCCTGTGGGCATGCTCGGCCCTCTGCCTCTCATTCAGCTCCTTCATCTCTAAAGTCGTGATCCTCCTCGCAGCGGATATCGCCTCGTTGTTGATCGAGGCCCTGTCTCCCTCGGCCAGGCCGGTTTCAGAGCCTGGGGAAGAAAAAAACGGTTGTTTCAGTGAGGTGGAACCATTAATTAACTGTCAAGGCTGTAAAACATTAAAAAAAAGAAAACAAAAAACATTTAATATATTTTCTTCAAAAAAGTAGTGATTTTTTTTAGATGTAAATAATAAATAAATTCAAGAATAAAAACTTTGAATTAAAAAAAAAGAATATTTTATATTTTACCCCCCCGTACTTTATATTTTTGGTCATGTTTCAACCACAAGTGCAAATGTTTTTCATAAGGATATTTTGGGACAAACCAACATTAAGTAGCACACAACTGGAAAGTTTAGCTGAAAGAAAACTTGGCACATGTACCCTAATTCAGGGGTTCCCAAAATGGAGTGTTGGGTTGTTGGGACCCTCTAGCGGGTCGCGAGACACTCATTTGGGGGTCAAAAGATGATTTTCAAATTCATCATGATGTGATCCCCCTATGGATTATGGAGAGTCAGTTTTGGTTTATGGATCTGGTGATTATTTTTTGGATTAACTGTTTAATAGTTGGACATAAAAAGGTGCTTAAGAGGAGATTTTTTTTTTTTATTTTATTACAGATTTGAAGCAAGTGAAGCAAAAACTGCCACTTGAGTTCTGGGTAGAACATATTTACAGTCAAAGATTTTTTTTTACTGTATCTTAAATGTAATATGCATGCATGCATTTTCTTTTGCATGCATGCAGTTTTGGCTTAATCACTGCTTTGAATATGTTGTTCTTCCAGCAGATGCCCTTTTGTTAACTCTGTATACTCCACTTAACAATTAATCAATTACCAAATTAGATGATGATTATGTCAATATTTGATTCATTGATAATTAGATTTTTTACATGATAAAATCAATTAATAAAATTTCATTGTAAAAAAAAATCATGTTTAAAAATGGATATGATTATGTCACTCTGTATGCATATATTAAATAAACAGAGTGAATTAGTTATATGTATTTTATGGGGGTCCATATTTCTTTGCAAAATGGATCTAGCTCAACCAGATTGGATTAAAACCATCTATTTTTCCTCCGTTTTTGAATTTCGCTACAGATTCTTGGTGAGATTTAAGTCTTGACTTTGACTAGACCATTGAAGGATTGGAACATTCTTTGATTTAAATCACTTAATTTTTTCTGTTGTTGTCATTAGTCCCACCTGAGCTCTGAAGCTCTGGAATTCCTCTCGGCATTTTCTCTAATTATTGCTCAACTTTCCTGACCTGTCAGTTCAGCTTATTGCGTGGAGGACAAAACGGAGCTTTTGTAATATGTTGTCAAAAACTTTATCTCTGATCTGCTTTGGTGCATTTCCTGCTCTTTCCTCAGAGCTGTTTGCTCACTAATCCTCTCTAACAAACCTCTGAGGACTTCACAGAATGCCTTGATTTATACTGAGATGCATTACAAACAGGAGGATTCAATTTACTAACTCTACGACTTCTATAAAGAAGAAGAAGAAAAAAAAAGAGGAGGTTGAGTTGGATTTTGAATTTTTAGGAGAATCAAAGAAAGAAGCACATGGTTTTATTTCCATGTCACAATTATGTGCTACTTAGATTTTTTACAATTTCCACCAGCGTCAGCGGTTTTGCAAGGCACTGCAGTTTTGGATGTGGTTGCTATAGAATGGCCTCCGAAATCCCTTGCGCATATAACGACTCTTAACCTGACGTTCTCACTGTTGTGACAAAAACGTCATAACAACTCGAGCCGCAGCTCACACCCCAATTAATGCCAACAATGCGGCTAAACGTACATAAGCCGCCTTGCAACCACCGAGCCTATTACAGCAACGGCCGCTGGCAGGGCAGCAGAGGGGAGCAGAGGAACTGTGATTCCACAGATGTAAACACTGTCATCTCCCGCCTGTGGGAAATATCTGCTGTGGCCATGTTGTGTGGCATCGCCAGAATCCTGCGACTGTTTTGTTTATAGCAATGACGACCTCAGATTTCATCCCGGAGGATTTGTGCTGAACAGCTCAGGGAAGCTGTGTCGAAACTCTCGTTTGGAAGCAAATGAATGTCTCAACTGTTATGCAGAACAAATAGTTTTGTAACACGTTTTAAGATTCTGAGTAAACAAAATAGACACTATCATCTTTTTTTTTTAAGATGCAAATGACTGGAGTGAGCTCCCTCTTTTTGCTTACCGACTGAACCGACGGTCTCCCATGCTTGCTCCAGGGTGTTGAGTTTCTCCTTCGTGATCTCCAGTTCCTTATTGACGGCAGAGATTTGTTTCCATAGAGACTCGTTCTCGCTCTGGGATGTTGGACAGAATCACAAAGATGCATTGGAAGAGTTCAGCACACCACTGGAAATAATGTAACATTCAATGATGTAACCGAGAAGTCACTTGTAATCTCTTAAAGCAGCCTTGATTAAATGTTCTTTAGGTTTTCCAGAAGGTCTTTCAAACGTTCTTTGCTCAATATTTGCAGCTTTTTCAAAAAAATCTTTGGAAATATGTTGACATTAACACGATGACTTACAGTTTTGGTGCAGAGGAAGCTGTTACACAATAAGGAATGGTGTTAGGACAACAGTAAACGAAGTAGAAGTTGTTTCTGGTTTGACGGACAGAACAAAAATACAGTTCTAAAGACAAGAATTGCCAAACAGCTTTAAATTTATTTAGAATCTTTACACATCCTCCCACAAATTCTTGGATGGTTACAACTTGGCAAGTAAATGAGTGAAAAAGCTGCCAAAATCAAATAAAAAACGTTAACGAAAAGAAACTCCAGAAAACTGTAAGTGGTGTTCAAAACTACTTTGTCGAAAGTCTGAAGATAGGAGAGATGAACAAGGACACTGAAAGGAGTGAAAGAGTAGCAGATGGTTGAAGAGGAAAGTTTTGAGTTGGGAATGTGTCTTACTACCTCTAAATGTTGGAGGCTGGATGTTTTCTGTACAAGTAGGCTGTCCTTCTGGAGCACATCTCTGTATTTGACTGTTAGCTTAGTGTACTGCTTATTGGCTCTCTCAAGTTCTGATGCAGGCACGCTGTCATCCAAGGCCTTCTGCAGGGCCGTTATCTTATAGGCAGCCATTTCCTTTAGAACAAAAAAAAGGGTGAGACATCAATTCAATAGCATCATTTTTTATTCTTGCTTTAAAAAGACAAGTTGTGAAACAATGCTTTACAGTGACTACTGATTTAACTACTCAGTGGCCACACCCAACAGGACGGTTAATTGCTTTCTTCCAGTATTTTAGCTTCTAAAGAGAAAAAACATTTAGCTTAAATCAGTGGCTGTAGGTCAAAGGCTGGGGGTGAGATTTCTCATCCCTGTTGACTCCCTTATCTCTTCCTCCCAAAAACTATGGAGCCATTTAACCACAGAAGACGCCGTCTCTTTGCCCGTCAAAGCGGAATGTACACCCGGTGACCTTCAGTGTATTTTCGAGTGGAACAGATGAATGTGTTCCCCTTGTAAAGATTTGTGTAGTGTTGGGTTACATTTACACTCTCGGGACCATGTGACGATCGCGGGTGATGTGTGAGGTTCTCGTTAAGTGCCATTTAAGGGCTCTGCCTGAACTCCCTGAGTATTTTCACAACGTTCATTATCGCTTGTGTTGAAAGACCTCTGGATTCTTTTGATATCGGTTTTTGTTTTGGTGATTCATGACCATCATCAGAGGTTGAGGGTGGGTGTGGGGAACAGATTAGGTGTGCTGGGTGGCATCCAAACAGTATTTTTGGTACACGGGGAAAGAGAAGAATTCAAGAAAAGCTGTCTAGACTCTAAAAGTAAGAGTTTTATTTTCAGGAGCACACTTTGAAAAACAGTTGGCATCTCTGCCAAGTTTATAAGTTTAAAGTGTGATATCCCAAAGCCTCTCAATGACTCCAACACCTGGGGTCTGACTCTGATCAGGACTTCCCATTCAATTCCCAGGCAGTCTTCAGTGGATTTACTTGTACGTGGTGGTTCCAGTTCTGAATCTGCTTAACATTTTTACTCTTACATTTTCTTCAAGCTCTGTCACACAGCAGAATTTATGGTGGCTTATATGAAGGTAAGCTCAGCAAGTCCTGTTGAAGCAAACCATCCCCAAATCATAACACTTGGTGGATTTGGCCTACAGCAAACATGTCCTCTGTTCTCATGTCAAAATAATTCAATTGGAAACAAATGGGCTTCCAACGGGTTTCTGGAAACCCTCTGATAAATGAAACTGCTTTCTTAATTTGTAACCTAATATTAAGTAAAGTCCATTGCTAAAGCTTGGTTTCCTTAGATGTCATAAAAATATCAATAATGACATCAGAGTTCACAATTACAGTGGATGTATTTTTAAATAAGAGGGCAAGAATTTAAGTTCTTTTCTTGATATAATTTCCACAAAACTTCATCAACAATCTAAAATCGTTTCTTTTTGAGTCTTACATGTGACTCGAGTTGGCATCTCAAACTGGAGTCGCCATCAATGAATGAGACTCAGTGAGCTAAGCTTTTCAATAATAAGCATTTCAGCTGCATCTGACACAAGACAAAGAATGAATATCTGAAAAAGCAACTTGTTAAAGTGACACTGAAGGCACTTTGGACCTGATGTCACAAGCAGTCTAACACGTATGATCTGTTTAAATAGAAATGTGGTGATCTTTAGAAGAAAAAGGAAAAAACTGGTTGTCATTAGATCTTTGAACAAAATAATGATTTTGCGAAGTCAAACAGAATTCGTCAGACGCAAAATCGACCCTATTCCATGATCTGCTCTTCTTTGGATCTAAATTC